TACTTACTTTCACAATGCACTCTCACACTGAGATGGTACCGTTAAATAACCTGGGGCGGTGTATTTGTCCTTGAAACTTTCCAAAAATTCTTGCATTCTTTCACCCCCACCCTAGAACATTGTGTTCGCATAACGGGACGAAATAATGCAGAGCTCGGTTCACACTAGTGCGAAAATAGTGTTAAACTCACCATGTGAAACAAAAGTGAATGAATATTAAACAACATATAAACTTAAAAAAAAAGCCCCGGTTAAGCCGCAAACCGGTTAATCCGCCCCCGGATAATCGAGAGTTGACTGTAGTTGTTAATTGATCGGATTTTATATTAATGATATTGTATGTATGTATTGATATTGACCAATCACATTATAATTATAGTTTCCGCTTGTATTGATATGTCCTTCTGAAGATGGTCTCTCATACTGAAGCACGTCAAGGATGAAAGATTAAAAAGGAAAGAGAAGATAAAAACATTTATCGGTCACACTGCATGGAGTTGATAACCTTTTATAATATTGCAAGTTTGACAGACCAGGATGAACCAAATCAAATTCAGGTTATATTTGTCAGCAGAACAATTAATTACAAACTGATATTAAAATGCTTAATATTAATAATTCAGTAATGATATAATTCATAAAAACCACCTGATGAAGGTCTTGAGCAAAACGTCTAGTGGGATGAAAGTAAAATAACATGAACATTTTATTATCAGTTTATAATTAACTGCCATGTTGTTGGCCCCTAAGTATACCTTTGTTAGAATAAAAATGTTATTTACCTGTTTCATCTTTTGTTTGCAGTATGGCACCACATGCCCTTTGTGCCGTGGGGATGCAGGTTGAGTACCTGACTCATTTGGATGAAAGATTCTGCATTTAAATAAATTTACCTCAGGTTGTGTAAAAAAAAAGATTCTATATTTATGTAAATTTAGTTTATTTTGTTTATTCTTGCAACATGTTCTTAGTATGTCTTGTATATGTTCTGAGATTTAAATAATAAAATATTTACCTCAGATTGTGTTGTAACTTCTTTAAAGACCAAGGGTTCAAACTTAGCAAAGAATGGAATCCCATCACCATGTCATTAGGGCATTCTGGCATGCATAGGCCTAGAAAATCCCAAGCAGGCAAATTCAGGGAAGATGAAAAGAAGGCACAGTAATTGACAACAGGAGCACCAGTTTAAATGACATGGTGATAGGGTAGTGTCAGATGGGTGACTACCCAATTTGACTCCAGCCTCCCGCTGCATCATATGCCAAGAGGATGAGTCAGCAATTCCAAACATTGGCATATATATCAGCGATTTATGGTAATTCACCACATCAAACCTGAAGGTGGAGATCTCTGAAATGTTGGTTTTTAACTCAAGACTGAGATGACTGATTGCTCAATAGGATTTTAACATACTGTTAAGCCATGGAAGCTTCAAATCTTCCATAGCCTCACTGAATCATTTTACCATTCCATTCCGAGTGTTTCTTCCTGTGTGCTTATGGACAGACCTTTTCAGGCATATATTTTATGCTTTTGTAACAGCCTAAAGCAATACAGATGTCTGTTGTAGGTGGTCAAGAGATTATAATACCTCTTTTTTTTTTCAATTTCTGTGCATGTGTGTGCTGTAACGCCTGAAACATGGACACTTAGGGCAGTATATCAGAAACATCTGGAAAGTTTTGAAATGTGGTGTTGGAGAAGGATAGAGAAGATCAGTTGGACCGATTATGTGAGAAATGAAGAAGTGTTAATTAGAGTCAGTGAGCAGAGGAATATCCTACACGAAATAAGAAAATGGAAGGCTAATTGATTGGTCATATCTTACGCGGTAACTGCCTTCTAAAAGAAGTTATCGAAGGAAAGATAGAGGGGCGGATAGAAGTGACAAGAAGACGTAAGAAGATGCTGGATGACCTTGGGGACAGAAGAGGATACTGTCATTTGAAGGAGAAAGCTCTAGATCGTATTAAATGGAGGAATTGTTTTGGAAGAGACTGTGGACCTGTCGTCTTGACAGATTACTGATGATGATGATGATGTGTGTGTGTTGTGAATGAACACACACTGCATGTGTAAAAGCTGAGGATCTTGTATCTCACCGCCACTTTCACTTTGATGTTGTTTAACCATTCTCATAATAAAATGTGCTGTAGAGATTGTACTCAGGGAACATTTGATATAATTATCTCAAATGGATTTAATTAGTACTAGTTTGTATATAATGCATGTGTAAAAGTGGTACTAAAGGCAGTAAACATCTTTTGACATATTCCTTAGCTGTGTGTATGTGTGTAATTCACATATATCTTACTTCAGAATTATTTGTTACAATATATTGTACAGAGTGTTTTATAGATCTGAAACAATGGTCCCACAGGTAAAAATTAAGAGTGTAAATTCAGGGGACTGTGATGGTCATTCAACTGGTCACTGGTCTAGTTACCCTTCCTTTGCGGCAATAAAAGGAATATGTTAGATCGTAAAAACAGGGAAGCAAATTCTGTTGAAATTATGTGCATTTCATTGACATGATATTTGTGAAGATAATTACATGTCTTGTACATGAGCCATCAATTTTCCTAAGAAGGTCTGAATGAGTGTGTTTCTTCCAGTATAAGTAATGCTAACGTTCCAGGCAGAATGTACAAGTGTTTGTGGTGAGGGTGGGGATGGATGTGAGAGGTTACCAGATGTATTTGATATTTTCCTTTATTGCTAGTGGGGTGAGACTAAGTCCCTTGTACTGCAGCCACTTCTGGCCTATTGTACCAGCACCAGATGATAGGTGAGGGTGATTGTGGAGCAATTGGTGGAATGAAGATTGGCAGTGGGAACCGAAGTACTCAGAGAAAACCTGCCTGAGCGCCACTTTGTCCACCACAAATCTCACTTGACCAGACCCGGGATCGAACCCGGGCTACTGCAGTGGGAAGCCAGCGACTAACCACTTCCAAATGTTGCGTGAATACAGAATATGGGATTCAGTCTCTTCTTAGTGAAAAACTTGCTTATGGTCAGTTCCTGTAGGTGTTCTCCCCTTGAGATTTAAAATCCTCTTATTTAGAATTCCTGTCACTGTCCTGTGAGTCTATTATTGTACCAATTTACAAAAAAGGGTGATAAAACTGACTACCCGTACAAAATTTTATGCCTATCCTTCCCTCAAGATTAAGTTTATATGTAGATGAAATTGCTGGGGAGCATCAGTGTGGGTTTGGATGTAACAGATCAACTATTGATCATATCTTTTGCTTTGGTCAGATACTGGAGAAAAAATGTGAGTACAGTGAGAGAGTATATCAGCTATTTGTATATGTATTTGTATATAGCTCTATATGGGTATGAAACTTGGTCTCTGACATTAAAATATATCAAATTTACAAACAGAGTTTAACATTCACACAAATTTCATAGACTTAGTACGTGATTGGAACTTATTCCAGTGCTGTGGTTGCCAGTTGCCTCGGTGTGCCCTCGACCTTAGAGTTCTTAATCGCTTGTGAATGCCCGTCAGTCTGTATGAAAGCTGAATTAATTGTCTAGGATGGGAAGCCGTGTATTCTGGTACATTTTCAAACCTGTAACCGGTAATCTTCACTATGTATGTAGGATATGAGGTTCTCACAGCGGTGGTTATGAGATATACCATCTTCTGTGAATTAACATAGTGTAGTCCGTTGAAAATAAACCGAGGTTTCAAAGAAACATCACATCCATCTTCAGGGTCAAAGTAGCCGTGCAAGATACCAACGTGAAAGTAGATTATGCCACTGCAGGTGGAAAGCAGAGTCTACTTTCACGCTGGTATCTTGTGCGGCTTATTCAACCCGGAAGATGGAGTCGATATGTTCCGCCGAAACGTCGGCTGACTTTCAACGGACTACACGACGTTATATCCAACAAGACAGTATTCTTCACTGTGTTTAACTTACAATCTCTTTTTGGTTCATCACACTGATAATTTTTTACTCCCAAATCAAAATGTATAATTTTTATATCATTAAAAGGTAAACAAAATATTGTTTTTACATGAGCAGCTGACAACAAAAATTATTCAGGACAATTCTCGAGACTTTAGGGGACCTAAGGAGGATATGTGTACATATGGGCTAAGCAAACAGCCCCTACTGGTAATTCGCGGTGTTCAGCATTTTTATCAGGTTAAGGCAAGTTGTCCCTATGCCTAATTAAGCACCACGTCAGGAAGGCGTATGGGGGAGTAGCGGTGTTGCTCCACACGTCTTAATCTTTGCAGGAGATGAAGGTGAGTGGCCATGCTCCAGCCACAACGTCCCTGGAGAAACGAGTCTGTACTAACAATCAGACAGGATGCTGGGTGAGCCCCTACAGCCTATTCAGACATGGCTATTTAGTTCACAGATGAGGAAAAGGGGCTATGCCAAGATCCTATTCATTAAACATTTGGTCTTCTGGGATGATACTGTGTATATCTGTGGATGGATACCGACTTTACATAGAAATATGTTGCCTCCACTTTCAGGGTTGAAGTGTGTATGTTCATGAATTATGTAGGCAGATTACGAGGAAGATGGTCACGTGTCCTATGGAGAAGTGTTGACAAAAAAGCCTGATATGTCCAATGGAAGAAACGGGCGGTAAATGGTCATTTTAGGGACACACAAGTTCACGGGCACATATGGGAAACGGAACAGTGATAAGAGATTTAATTTTGTGGCAGCTCATTCTCTGAAACGTCCAATCCACCTACAAAACTACATGATGTCATAAGCGAGATGAATACAACTAACAATCGCTGAGTGAAAACCCAAAAACTTATATCCTATAATAAATAGGACATAATTCAGCTTAGCACTTCATGTGTTTAATCTGTTCAGTTTAATTATTTGTTAATTATATCAGACGGTATGTTGCATAGATCCCCAGATTTTATGCAGTGATAGGTTATTTCACTTGAAGTCCAGCAGTATTATTATGGAATGCAACATTTAACACTTGTGAAAATTTGCATGCAAATGCATTTTGCTATGACGAAAAAAAATTACTGAGACTATATGTAGGACTAACATGCACTAAAGCAGTCATGCCATATAGGGGAAATGTACGAACTTTATCAGAATTGCCTAATCTCCTTCATCAACTAGCAACACAACATGACAATGGTGAGTGCATAGTCTACCTCTGACCACAAAGCGCCAATGAGTGGGACCACAATTAGGACAATGATCTTTTTTTTTATTATTGCTAGTGAGGTGGGACTAAGTCCCTTGTACTGCGGCCATTTCTGGCCTATTTTACCAGCCCCGATGATAGGTGAGGGCATCAAATTATGTCTGGATGCTAAACTGTGTTATTCAGGTGCAGTATCCCTGAGTGATGGGCAATGATCTGATTGGCAACCAACCAATCCCATCTGAACTCAGTGCCATCTAAACAAGCCTTGCCCAACTAGGCAGTAGGATGCACAGTAGTTTAATGTGCTAGCCTAAGAACCTAATATAAGCCATTGTGACAAAGTTGTAGCTGAACACAAGTGAGTGCATTGATGAATGCCTGTGGTCTGATGAGACAAACTGGCATAACATAAAATAGTAATTCAACCAAGAGAAATGTGATGAAAAAGAAAGAGTTACAAATCTATCAAAATATGTTATCCAGTCTATGTACACATTTTCACAGTCTGTTGACATGCAACATGCCAGAACCCAGCATTAAGCCATAGTAATGGTGCATACCATGGTGTTGACTACTCAGCAGAGAAGAATTGAAGATTTTGAGTCATGCTGGCCTTGAGCAGCATAAAGTTCTCACCAAATTAAGTGAAGACTGGTCCACTCGATCATAAGATCACATCACTGGTTACAAGGTCGTACGATATCTGTCTCAAACCTATTTCTCCAAAGGGGAGCAGTAGGCACTAGTGAATATATGCAAAAAGTAATATAAAAGTAAAAACAGATACAGTATGCATGTGATAGTTGATCTGTAAATCAATTCTTGTTGTTATACATTCAGCTGAAAGTTATTACACGATAGGAAAAATGACATCAATTGCATCACTTAAATACAAACACAAATTCTTCTTAAAAACACCTTTCCTTGATGCATACAAATTTTACCTGATGGTATGTACTGTGTAAATACGTCAACTTTACATTTTCTGAGTGATAAAGACAGATTCCACTGTAGATAAGACAAAATGCTTGTAAAATGAAATCTACCTGCCATTTTTCTAAGTACTATAACATGCACTGTAAACAATACCATTTATATTTGACTCAGTCTGAAAACATAATTAGAACCACCACCTCAATGGCAATTTGTACTTCAAAACACACACTGCCTTCTTACACACACCTCTTCTTGATACAAATAAAATAACATGATGGTATATCCTCTGTATATGTGTGCAGGGCTGAAGCATTATATGGGAACCAGAAATCCCATTATGAATCGTATGAAACATACTACCTTGTCCAAAAAGTATCCGACCTTGGGCCGGGAAAACAAAGTTCTGTATCTGGGTGGTTACAATACCTAATCCCATTCAAAGTAGGCCCCTTGTGACTCCATACACTTAGCCCAGTGGTCCTTCCATCGCTGGAAGCAATTCTTGAAGGCTTCTTTGGAATGGCATGCAGCTGCACCGTTGCATTCTGTATGATGTCCTCGTGGCTATCAAAACAGGAGCCTTTTAGTGGTGTCTTCAATCTCGGGAACAGTCAGAAATCACAAGGAGCCATGTCAGGGGAGTAGGAAGCCTGGCAAATATGCGGAATGCCATGCTTGGCCAGGAAACCCTGGATCAGGTGTAATGAATGAGCTGGGGCATTGTCATGATGCAGCTGCCAGTTGCGTACATCCCACAGCTCTAGTCTCTTTTGCCAAACTGCATCACAAAGATGGTGGAGGACAGTCAGTATCACCTTCACACCGCTCTGAACCTGTCATGCTTTTTTGGGCCTCGGGGATGTTGGACGCTTCCATTGTGACACCTGGACCTTGGTATCTGGGTAATATCTGTACATCCACGATGTCACCAGTGATCACCATCTTCAGGAACTCAGGATCCCTGTTGGCGCACTCCAGCACGTCCTGCGCGACCTAAAGGCAGAGTTGTTGCTGCTCTGGCGAAAGCAGCTTGGGCACAAATTTTGCTGCCACTATCTGCATGTCCAAATCCTAAGTTAAAATTGTGTTTACAGAACCTCTGCTGATCCCAACCTTATCAGCGACTTCCTGGATGGTCAAATGACGGTCCTCCATGATCAGTGTCTGCACATTTTCAATGACATCAGCATTTCGGCTCGTTGACAGTCTACCAGAACGTTGGTCACTGTCTGCCAACATACGGCCACCTTCAAAGCAGTTGAACCATTCTTTAATTTGGGTGATCCCCATTGCATCATCATCAAAAGCCTGCTGAATTTTGTGGATTGTTTCCGCTTGGGTATCCCCAAGTTTCTGACAAAACTTGATGCAGTATCACTGCTACAAGTGTTCTGTCATCTTGAGCAAAACGAGAATGCGATGAACACGTGTTACACCACTTTGCTATCTGGCAGCCACAGACGCGTCCGGCAGTGTTGCGAGTCAGGAAAAAATCACACATGCGCATGTAAGTCCCTTCTACCATTACACTCAGTTTACCCACCCCTTTGACCATTACTTACAGAGGCAAAAAATAAAGTCAGATACTGTTTGGACAACGGTGTACATGTAGAATGAAGTTCACTCACCATACGTGTATCCACTACAACACATGCCCTATACAGGATAATACATAGATATATTTCAGATAGATATAAACTATGATTAGAAGACTATCATCAATTACATTTTGTACTTCACTATACATACTAGTTCTTATAAAGACCTTTCCTCCATGCAAAGAAATGTAAGCAGCCTCTGCTACATATACTTGTTTTACAATTGGTCTCTATGCATCAAGCCCTGCTTACTGAACAAGTGCAGCCAATATCAATATTAACCTTTAAGAGACGGGCTATTTAAGTGGTGGTAGTTGTAGCAGGCCAGAGTTTATTTAAATGCCCGCCGCTCTAGAGGATTAAATTTGTGATCATGTTACTAAAAATGCTGTAACTCATACCATTTTTGTGGTAAACAAACGAAATTAACGTTGTTTTTATCTAGAAAGAATATAGAATCAGATATTGTAATAGACAAATTTTAGAATTCTTACACTGATTCAATTTTTTTTCTTTTAATTTTGAGCATTTGTCCACAATTCTGCTTAAATCTCCTGCACAATATGTTTCAGCAGTATAAATGTTGGCTCCTGGCATATCAGAGGGAGAGGAAGTTCATATTTGTCTCTGCTGAATCATATTATCAGATTACAGACATTGCCGGTTCCTAATAGCATATGTAGTAAATTCTGGGGACATTACACCAGAAGGCAGTTGTGTGATAGATTCAGACTGTGGTACAGATTATTTTGACAGTGGTCACGATGGAAGCTCTGAGTGAAGTCGACGCAGAACCAATATCTTCGTCGACAATCTGGGGACCACCACACCAGCATGACAGGAGGGGTATGAATAATTTTTCTGGTAGAGCAGTGGGGATAAATCTCAATGAAGCTCCACAAGTAAGTAAGGATTCCGCCCCACTCTGCGTTTTCATGCTTTAATTTGCAGGAATTATCCAGCTGCTAGTGGAAGAGACTAACAGATATTATCACAAGGACCTAGACAGACTTCTCCGCGCCCTGATGTAACCGACTCTGAGATGTTTCTGTTTCTAGGAATCATCATCCAAATGGGACATAATATAAGGGACAGACTAAAGGACTACTGGTCAACTGCTGAGCAATTTTGCACGCCTTTCTACAGCAACACAATGAAACGCCACCGTTTTCTTCACATTCTTCATTTCATTCATTTTGCAGATAACAATAGAGAAATTGACAGGAATGCCAAAAGTTGTGACCGACTATGGAAAATTCGGACCATCTTCGATACTTTTAATCTGTGGTTCTCAACCTTTTTTTGCTTGTGGCCCACTTCTGACTTTCATTCAGTCCTGTGGGCCCCCCTCATATTGTTTAATTACAATAAATGTAATATTGATTATAAATATGTACTTTATCAACTGTACTTTTATTTATAACAATTGTTATTTTTTTATAGCATAAGGAATATTTATAATAAGAAAGGGGTTTATTAACAAAAACCTTTATTTATAGTAGAATTTTTACTTATATAATGTTCTGTTTATTTAGAGTATATAATTATGCTCCTGACAAAAAATATTACAATAATATTAGTGTCCCTTAGGTTTAGTGAGATCCTTGCGACTGATGAGAAGAAGCAAGTTTTTGTATATGTGGTTGCAGAGTTGTTAGAGATAATCGAAGATCACATCTCTTCACAATATCAAGACGGTTATGAGCCTTTGATAGCAGATGAAGAACTCGAGTAAATCCAGATTCAACTAGATATGAAGTAGGAAATCCGATAAAAAATAGTTTCACCTTCTCCCAAAGCTGTGGAAATTTATTGGCAATTTCATTGCTTATCCAGAAATGTTGTTTGTCGTTTTTGAATCTAGCTTGGGCTGTTACATCACTCTGCAGTTCAACGAGATATTCTTGTAATACGCTGTGAACATCAACCGCATTTACCTGAAATGGATCGACCACCCAATCTGGGATAGTCATCTCTAGCAGGTCGCTGAACCGAAATTGCATATCATTGTATTTATCGTTAGTGCCAATAATAATTACAATTGTTCGCCATTTATTACGCTGTTTAATTTATGATTTCAATCTGCAATACTAATGTAATGGGAAAAATATCAAAACGGAAAGCAGAACAAAATATAGATATCTATATGAAAGTGTGTTTATACCTTGAAATATAAACCAAGCAAACTGGTCCATGGGAACAAACAATTTCTGGCAGCTTGAATTTCTAAATTTTATGACTGCCCTATTTCTAAATTTTTTGAAGATGTGGAAAATTTTAGAAGTCAATATTCATAAAAATTACTTTGAAAGCTATTCTACTTCAAATAAATACAAAACTGCTGTCATCAATTCACAATATTTTTTCTTGTAGAGGGAGGGCATTCAAATTCTATTGAAAGCTAATAATTTATTCGTAATGAAAGTTCAAGTTATTATGAAGTGTAATGCTTATTTGTCGAAAAATAGTAGCTGGAGTTTGTAACTTACCTTTAAAGTAGGGAACTGCCACAATAATAGAACTTGCACAGAAAAATGTCTTCTTCCAAACACTTCGAATACTGAACTGAAGAACACCTGAAATTTACTGAAATGGTGGCGGTAAAACTCATGAGAGGAGGGGGAGATATTTAAGAAAATAAAGGATAATTCGTTAGGGCTCTACCCGCTCTGAGAAGGCGTGCACCTGTTTACCGGTACTTGGAATTCCCAGATCTAAGGTTGTGGTTTAAATACAATAGGCTCTGTCCCTTCTAAGTAAGGTACACAAAAACAAGGATATTGAGTTATTATGTTATTATATGTACTGACCATTTGGCATTTTTATTTCTTTTTACATTATTAATAATTTTATTTTAGAAGTTAAAATTTTGTGGCCCACTTAACAGTTTCCATGGCCCTCCATTTTTCCAAATTTTGTCTGTGGCCCCACAGAAATACAGCTTGGCCCACTGGGGAGCCATATTGCCCCCACTGAGAACCCCTGCTCTAAATGACGCATATCAAAAATATTATAATCCTTCTGAACATTTGTCTGTTGATGAAATACTTGTCAAATTCAAAGGGAGGGTGGTTTTCATACAGAACAATCCTAAGAAACACAAACGTTTCGGAATCAAAATCTACAAACTCTGTGTATACTTATGACATGAAGGTTTACTTAGGGAAAAACAGGACACGTGGCGATCAAGATGTGGCAGCGACACATGCTACGATTAGGGACCTCTGCAGAAGGGTTGAGGGAGTAGGCCACAAACTGTACACGGATAATTTCTTTTCATCACCAGACCTGTTTGACGAACTAATGACGAAGAAAATAAGTTGCTGTGGGATATTCAGACCTAATCGGAAGGGCTTGCCTCAAGACTTTCGTAACAGACAACTTCGATTGAAGAAAGGTGACATTCGGGTTAGGGTGAGAGGGGACATGACAGCACTAGTTTGGAAGGATAAACGTGACGTTCGTATGTTGACAAACATGCACTCTACTCCAGCAGAAGGCAATTTCTGTGATGAGCATGGGAATGTCATCAAACCAGCAACTGTTGCGGATTACAAGAAGCACATGGGATATGTCGACAAGGCAGACAGAATGACAAACAGCTATTCCATCAGTCGTCGTACCTGGAAATGGACAAACAAATTGTTCTTCCATCTCCTGGATCTGACGATTCTTAACAGTATGTTAACAGTATGTTAAATTCATATGGTCTACAAGCAATAGTTGATATCCCAACAAGAACAGGACTTAGAAGTCAAACAGCGATAGATCAAATAATATTAAATAAATACTTATGGGATTACAACTTTAAGGTAATTGCAACAGGATTCTCTGATCATTTTGCACAAATATTACAAGTGCAGATGCAGAATATAAATAAAAAGAGGCAAGCTGCAGTTAAAGAAGAATTCAGGAAGTTAGACTTTGTATTGAAGAGAATGTTCAATACCTAAACTACCTATTGGAGGAGGAGTCTTGGGAACTTGTTTTTAGGCAAACTTCAGTTAATGATGCATAATGAATTTTTAGGTACTTTCCAGTATTATTATAACATAGCTATGCCTAAAAAGCGGGTAAGAACTAATCAACTAGGAAATAAATGGGTTACCTCAGGTATAAGGGTATCAAGCACCAGGCTCAAGTTTCTAAATAGATTAATGAAAGAAAGAAACATACCAGAAGAGTTTAAAAAATATTATTATCGGTATAAGAAAATTTACAACAGAGTAATTAGCGAGGCCAAGAAATTATCTAATAACATACGGATAAATACAGCAGGAAACAAATCTAAAGCTATGTGGAACCTAATTAAACAGGAGTTAGGCAAACATAAAAAAGAAACTAGGAATATTGAAATAAATGTAAATGGGACAAATACACAGGATCCAAAAGTCACAGCTAATGTCTTTAATGACTATTATACCAGCATTGCTC